ACTGCTTCTGGGAGGAGGATCGGACGGAAGGGGAATGGATAAGTGAGGGGGGAGGGGACTCTAATCTTGCAGTCAGTATTAAACGACAGCATCACTTCCTGTCCATTTCTTGCAAAAAAAGAAAACCCTAATCCCCACCCAACTCTACAGGGACGCTGCGATGGTGTGAATCCAGTGTTTTTCTTCTCTTCTTTCTCCCCCACCCCTCTTCCTCTTATCCACTCCTCCTCTGCACATCATTTTACCATGACAACAGGGCCTGGACTTTAGCTACCGATTCTTAAGACGTTGCAAATAACCATTATGTATTAGTGGCAGGTCCTCCTCCTTGAGGACACAGAATGTACTCCAATGTTTCTCGAGATTTATTTCCTTTTTCCTGCCCCCCTTCTTGTTTTTCCTTGCAGTGCCAAGACATGGGGCATAAACAGGCTCCTTGTCTAAAAACGTGTTGTTTTTGGGATGCAATTTGATGGTTCAGGGTTGTTGTTTTGTTTTGTTTTTATTTCGGCAAAATGGTCCAGTCACAAGTTCAGTCTGTGAAAGAAGCTTTTCACGCTCGTTCGGAAAGTTTCCCATTTTTGTTTAGAGGTTTTGTTTCTTTTCCCTCACCTCAATCCTATATTCACATTTCAATGCCAAGTAGCTGGGTAATGAATTAGTTGTTGTTGTTGTTTTTGCCTTCAGAGTACAATCAATGGTTTTTCTGTCCGCTCGGCCGAGTTGGCAGCGAACGTGCACAGAGATTGGAATCAAGGATTCAGGTGAGGTGAAACCATTTTTGTTCACACGCACTTGTTTAGGTTATAAACACAAACAAGTACACGAATCGTGCAGTTTACTGTATTCTGATTTTAAAGTCGTTCCAATGAGGACGTCGCTTTTTATTACCGCCCTAGAGCCGTCGCATGCTCGCGATCGGATGAAATGTCTCTTTAGTCTTCACCACTACTCGCTCTTTCGAATATTTCGCAAAGCTGTCTCTTCATTCACAGAGGAACTGTTAGGGGAAACCTGTCGTTTGTTGAATGTTAGTTAAGGTCAGCTGTCGCAGACACTGGCGTTAGTTTAGGCCTTCAAGCTCCCCTTGTCTGCACTTTATTTAAGGTCTATCTTACAGATCTTACTCTTCTGATGTGAAATACTGGGGATGAGTATCTTCCCCTTTGAAGAAGTCTCTCTTTGAAGGGGTCACTTGTTGCTCTTTACACAAGTATGGTATGGGTGTCTTTTTTCCACAAGCTTTTCTTCTATCAGCTCTAAGCAGAAATGTGTAGAAACCATATATTTATCAGTGTTAAGAAGGGGTGACCTGTTTGTTCTCTGACAATTAAAGACGTGAAACAATATATTTTTCCAGCTTAGATTTGATTTTCAATTGTTACTCTGCCCCCCCCCCCCCCCCCCCCCCCCCCTCAGCATCTTTTCAAAAAAAAAAAACTTTTTTTTATTCTACTATTAGATGGATAGCCTAATGTCCTAATTCAGATGGGCTACCTGTTTTTTTTTTTAATGGTATATCACAAAAAATGTATATTTTTTAAATGTGATTGTTGGTACATTTTACCAGTTTTTACCATACTTTCAAAACAAAAATTAAAATAGGAAAAATATGCAATATGAAAATAATTGAAGACAAAATGTGTTTTACTGAGAAAAAAACAAGATTTGGTGTTTTAAAAGCCTTTTTCCAAAAGGTACATCTGAAAAGGGGGGTCGTCTTATAATCAGGGTCGTCTTATATTCGGGC